ACTCGAGGAACTATTCAGATTTTCTGCACTTCTCATGGGAGCGACTCATCTGTTGTTCCTCATCGGTTCTTTGGGTTATAGCCGCCAAGAATTACCCGTGGAAAGCGATCTAAGCAAGATCCATAGAATCTTCATCACAGCTTTACGGAAACTGAGTTTAAAATATCCAACCTCATCGAATTCTTATTACTGGAAGGGCTACAAGCAGCAACACACGTATAATCATGGTGAAGGAGTAAGGTTATTGCCACGAGTTCCACGGCTATTCAGGTGGTTGGACAAAGCGGCCATAGTTAAATCAGAAGAAGAAGAAGATTCAAGACATCATAGAGAGAGTATTGATACGCAAGAAAAGAAAAAGAAGATTTGCACTGTGAAGGACGTGAGAGATGTCAAAAGCCTTGTTCATATAATTTACCTTGGCCTTACCATCTTTCCTTATAGTTTACTCATTGCCTCTGGGGACACTTTCTTTGTTGCCCAAGCAAATGAGTTGAAACCAGTTATGAATAAAAGAGGTAACGATATCTCTATTCTATTCTTGATCCAATCCGTGGCGACTGACATGTCAGAGTTTACTTGTTTTCTCATCAGTCTTCCCTTTCGAAAGAAACAAAAATCAAGAGTAGCAAGATTCATTTGGGAAAGAAAAGCAGCGACAATCATGAGGATTGGATTTGGCATTACGTGTGCAGTAATATGCGGCATCATAGCATGGCAAGTGGAGATTCGCAGGTTGTCGTCAAAGTTGAAAACCACAGTGGCTTTGGTTCCGCAATTTGTGTTACTAGGAATGACAGAGGGACTTGTTGATGGGGGAATAGAAAGATTATTCGATGACCATGTAGCGAAATCGTTGTCGAATTTTGAGGATTCGTTTAGTGAGTTGATGGTTGGTGGTGGAAAACTTCTGATTATACCAATTGTGTGGATTTTCAGCGGGTGGATCAAGGAAACAATCGACACTAGCCATTTGGACAGGTATTATCTGATGTTGGCGATAATGAACGCTGTGCTGCTTCTAGCTTTTGCGTACTACTCCGTTACCTATGCATACAAGGAAGTGTGTCCCGAAGATGAGAAGGTGACCACAGAGGAAAGAGTGGATCACTCACATCAACCAGACTCAGAAGACACCTATCAGGAAAATACTCGCCCATTGAAAATGGGAAAGAGTGGATCATTCCCATAACAATTGTAGTGTTCGGGAAAATACTTTTTGTTTTCTAATGTAATATTAGTTATCACAAGTGAATGTTCACTTTATTGAAAATGTCATCGACCAAAACACCTTATTCATCTCTGTCCACAAGGGAATCAAAGTACACAAATGAATTGTCGTCTATTTCATGATTGAATCCTCGATGATAAGGAAAAAATATTAGTTGTATATCATTGTCGTCTTGGACATTCCTCATTTCTTGTTATAAAACTTTTGTTTTATTTGTTTATGGATTTGAATTTGAATATACAAAATCTTGTTTATGAGGCTTTTGAATTGACGAAATGCAAAAGCATTCTATCTTTTCCTACTTGCAATAATCTTTTATATATGGTTGATAGTGACGTGTGAGGTCCTTCTAATGTTTCAAATATTTCATATTTTAGGAGCTAAATGTTGCAAACCTGAAGTTAGTTTTATTGTTATGAAATTTGTTTCGATATATTAAAAATCAATTTGGGGTTGTTATCAAGAAGTTTAGGTATGATAATGCTAAGGATTATTTTAAACACTAGACTCTTTTTCAAAACGAAGGTATAATTAATGAATTTTCATGATACTCAAACCAAATGGAGTTAGTTGAATGAAAAAATGAACTTCTTTTAGAACAAATAAGAGCACTCGTCTTTCAAAACAATGTTCCGAAAATATTTTGAAGAAGTCATTGTCAATCACTACACAAAAAACATATTACCAACTGTGAAAATTTGTTAGAAACATTAAAAATCCGACTTAACT